GTGCCTGATAAATGTTGTGGGTTATATAGACAACTGGCGAACGTTTTGGGGTAGGCCTGGGCTTTTGAAGAGGGATGGTATTCACCCCTTGCGGGCTGGTGCTGACCTCCTGTCCAAAAGCATAGCTCATAGCTTCAAGGCAAATCGCTGACTAACTTGAGCCAAGTCCAGGCGGCAGGCAAACTGGCATTACGCTGAAAAGAACATTACGCTGGATACCGACATTATCCGCACAAAAGCTAAAAAGCTTTATGAAGCTTTTACTGACAGCGATGACGTCCATGACAGCGAGGAGCAGGATTATGCGGAGCCCAGGCCATCGACGAGTGCTTTTCATGCAGAATCAAGCCCATTTAATGCCAGGGCTGGTTTGACAAATTTCAGAAACGCTTTGGACTTAAAAGTGTTTCACTGCATGGAGAGGCCGCCTCTGCGGATACCGCTGGAGCAGAGGCATACGCGAACAACAAATTTAAAGCGATCATCGAGGAAGGGAGATATAAGCCTGAACAAGTTTTTAATATGGATGAGACAGGCTTATTTTGGAAATTAATGCCCTCTCGCACCTTTATAATTCAGGACGAAGCCAAAGCCCCATGATTTAAGGCCCAAAAAGATCGCGTGACTCTGGTTATGTGTGGAAATGCCGCGGGCTTTATAATAAAACTGGGGCTTATTTATAGGTCAAAAAATCCAAGAACCCTAAAAAACAAAAATAAGAATGCGTTGCCCATTTACTGGATGCACAACGCAAGGGCTTGGGTGACAAAAGCGCTCAATCTGAATTGGTTCAAAGAGTGTTTCATCCCGGAGGTCAAGCGTTATTTGAGAGGAAAAGGACTAGACTTTAAAGGCCACACTGATGATTTGTCGTATGATGGCATGCAAATTGAATTTCTGCCGCCAAACACTACATCGCTGATTCAGCCCATGGACCAAGGCATCATCCGCGCTTCCAAGGCTCTCTATACACGCAACACCCTACAACATCTTGTTGAGGCTATGGACTCGGATCATGATTTCTCACTAAAGGACTACTGGTGTGAATACACCATTGCATCATGTCTCCAAAATATTCAGAGAGCCATTCATGCCTGCTGTAAAAAAATGTGGCCAGAGGCAGTGCACAACCCTACCGAATACTAGGTAGATACAGCTGTGAATCTGGCTAAACAGCTCGGGGGAGATGGCTTGAATGATATGACTCCTGATGACATTAATAACCTGATTCATGCCCACTCACAACCGCTGACTGATTAAGACCTGGCAGAGATATCAAAGCCACCAAGCGAGGATGAGGGAGAAGAGGACGAAGAGGACGCAAGTGTTGATATAGACAAGGAGGATGAACTAACACTTGATCGCTTGGCAACCATGGTGAGAATGGCCAATGAACTTCAGCGAGCTGCGCAAGAATGGGACCCTTTGATGTTTTGTTCATTACAATTCTCAAACATAATCGAAGGTGGCATGTCTGTTTATAAGAATCTTCTCGACCAGAAGAAAAAAGAGCGCCAACAATTACCCATAACTATGTTCACTCGGAAAAAGACACCTGCACCGAGGTCTTCAGTGGAAAAAGACGCTACAGTTAAGCGGCGCCAGGGCGAAGAGGCACCGTCAGTGGAACTGTGAAATACTCATGAGTCACTATTAATAATTTCTTATGTGTCCAACCTCGTAGATTGATCATTAAAATTAAATTTGTTAGTTCTAAAATCCAAAACTTTTATATTTTTATTTCTCAAACAAATGTTTGGGCCTGAAAACAGGTTTTGATCTTTGTTTTCATTTTATAATACTGGACATATTTTTCTACAAAGGTTTGAACTTTGAGAGTGTTTAAACGAGAGAAAAGTGTGAAAATGTTAATGCCTGTGTGAGAAAGGTGTATAAAGTGTGTAGTGAGGGGTTTTACAGCCTTAAAACATCTATAATAATTGTAAAAAATAAAGCTGACTGCTTCGTGGATTTCGTCTATTGCGGGTTATTTTTAGAACGTAACTCCCGCAATTAACGAGGGCCCACTGTGTGTGTGTGTGTGCGTGTGCGTGCGTGTGTGTGTGTGTGTGTGTATATCTGTTAACCCTGATGATGCATCACTGCTCTCTCGGTTAGAAGATATCCGGTGCTGGAAGGCAAAAAAATTCCTTATGTTAAACACAGAAGTACTGGTACAGTACTTGGTCCCAAGACTGCACGAAATAAGTTTCACCACCTCAACATTGGTGGCTTTCCTACACAACCTAACACAGTGGTTAGAAATCTTGGTCTTCTAGTTGATTCAGATCTATGTTTTAATGCTCCCATAAGTATTACTAGAACTGCATTTTATCATCTACGGAACATAGCCAAGCTCCGAACATGATCTCCCTTCATAATGCAGAAAAATTAATACATGCCTTCATAACTTCCAGACTGTACTACTGTAATGCCCTCTTTTCTGGTTGCCCATCTGGATCCTGGATACATAAACTTCAGCTGGTACAGAATGCAGCAGCCAGAGTTCTCACAAGCACTAAAAAATTTGATGGCGTTACACCTGTCTTATCCTCCTTTCACTGGCTTCCAGTTAAGTCTCGGATTGACTATAAAATACTGCTATTAACCTATAAATCACTGAATGGCCTTGCACCAGAATACCTTAGTGATCTGCTGACCTCATACAACCCTCCACGCTTGCTTCGTTCTCAAGGCGCAGGATATCTGTTAGTACCTACAGTAGAAAGAGCTACAGCAGGCTGCAAAGCTTTCTCCTATAGAGCTCCTCAGCTGTGGAATGGTATTCTACCGGATGTGTGCGATTCAGGCTCACTCTCAGTATTCAAGTCTATATTAAAAACACACCTGTTTAGTTTAGCTTATAGGGACTCTAGTTCTAGCTCTAGCTAACTACTCACCCCCAGTTAGACCTGTAGTGTGAGGTGTAGAGCTGGGTGGGGATCGGTGCCATTGGCTTTGGATAAACTGAACTGTCAGTGCTGTCACTCTAGCTTCACAATCCCTTGTGGAATTGGAGTTCTGACATTTCAGGGACCCCCCATGCCTGTATTCCCACTTGCTTTTCCCTCCTACTTACTGTATGCTGCCATAGCCATATGTGCTGGAGCTTACTGCACTCACCTAACTGTTTGCACTTCCTCTAGTCTCTCCTAATTTGGCTTAATGCACATTTTATTTCCCCTACTCCTCCTGGGGTGTGCTGCTTTGAGACCTCAATTTATCAAGATATCCTGCACACTCTGCTACATGTGACATGTCGCCACTACCCATGACGTCCTTGCATCCTGCTCGCCGTTCTGTCTGTGTCATCCTCCATTTATGCCTGGCTGCCTTACTACTGGTTGCCTGGTGATCTGAAGGAGCGCCTACGCCGGCTTGCCATTACCTCCCTGCTGCCTGGCTGTGACTCAAATCTTATGACTTTGACATTGTGACTTGGCACTTGGCACAAATTTGACTCCCCCTGCTGGCCCCTGGTGGATGGGCTACCCCTTTGAGTCTGGTCCCTCCCAAGGTTCCTTCCTTCTAGGGAGTTTTTCCTTGCCACTGTCGCCCTGGGGGCTTTGGGTGGGGATGCTGTAAAGCGCTTTGAGACGATGTAATGTTGTGAGAATGCACTATACAAAAATGAATTTGTTTGTTCTGTTCTCTGCTGTTTTGATAACCCACTAGAGAGGCAGGTGATCCGAGGCATTGCAGGATCAGCCAGACTGTGGTACAGTTTCTAAGCAAACTGTGAGTGGTGCCTCTGTAGATGGTAGACCGGGTGGGAGGTGGCCTGTCTCACGTGCAGGAAGTAAGTTTACTGCTGGGCGTTCTTGGTCAAGGAGGATACATGCTAGCCCCAGGAGACATCGTCAGTGAGGGGCACAATCAGAAGACTGATGCTGAGCTCTGCTGAGAGCAGTTTCTCCCTGTTTTTTTAGTCCACAATCATTTCCTTCATCTTGTGTGTCTGTGTGACTTTCTACGCAACTCACTCTCGGTCTCTCTCTCTCTGCTTATTACTCTGTGTGTCTTTGTCTGTCTGAATGACTGACTCTGGATCTGTGTCTCTATGTATGTGTGGGACTCTCTCTCTCTCTCTCTCTCTTTGTTTGTCTCGCTGTGTGACTCTGTGTGTGTGTGATTCTTTGTTTCAGTGTATCTGTCGGAATGTGACTCTGTGTGACTGTGTATCTTTATTTGTCCATGACTGTGTGTCTGTGTGTGTGTTTATGACTCTTTCTGAGTGTCTCTTTTTCTGTGTGACCCATATCTCTTCCTCGCCTCTTCCTGCCTCCTCCCGAGCAGGATACGTCTCAGATAAGTGTATTTCCTGTTTGTCCTTCAGTGCTGTGGCCCAGTGCTGTTAGGCTGCTTAGTGGGATGGTGATGGGAGCATCTTTGGGGGGTGAGGGATGTCTGCCTGCCTCTTCCATGCCAGTCCACGGTGCCTCTGTAAAATCAAGTCCGCCCCATGTGAGTGTTAGTAACTGTGAGTGCGCGGCCCCTTGGAATTTCTGTCTCTGCCAGCCTGACCTGCCACTCTCCTGCCCCATTGAGGCCTCTCTTCCCACATGGTCCTCAGTATCACTCTGGTATTTCAATCTGGCGTCATCTTCAGGATGGCCATCTCCCGCGCAGCGTGTGTTTCATGTGAGGTGAAGTTGTGTGGGGGAGCGGAGGACATGACCGCCGTTATGCAGAGGTCTCACAGTTCTGGGGCCAGGGGCCTGCTCCACCTTTGAGTCCCAGCCAGCCTGCCGCTGTGACGGATCTGAACACAGCTCAGATGTAGGTTTCAGTCTCCTGTAGGTGGAGATCCATCCTCACTCCTGGAGTGAGTGGAAGCGGTGAGGTTGTGTCTGAAGAAGGGTCCTGCTCTCATTCCTTTCAAGGGTCAGGGTTTATTAAAATATTTAAAAAGTCCAATTTGCCAGTGTTCACATTTTTGCATGGCACATGATAATGGTGATGAAGATGATGATGTGTATTCATGACTCCTCCCCACATAGGTTGCCGTGGTGAAGATGAAGAACACGGAGAGCTTTTACGCCATGAAAATTCTCAACAAGTGGGAGATGCTGAAGAGAGCTGAGGTCAGGCGCCAGCATGCTGTCTCCGGTTCTCTCTGCTCTTAATCCAGCCCCAAACCCCTTTTGTCTTAGCCACACCCCCTTTCCTCTCAGTCCCTGACCCTTTGTACTTAGCCCCAGTCTTCTTTCCCCCATATCACATGCTGCCCTCAAAATGGTCCCATGGCCTGGGTTCACCCTGTAGTCAGGGGTGTCTGTCGGGAGTGGGAGGCACAGTATAGGTGGCATGTGAGACAGATAGGGTTCCCAGTGTGTGTAATGCCCTGCCGGCTCTGTGGAGGAGGGGACAGACTGCTGGTTACTGATGGGGGAGGGGGCAGGGGCCAAAGCCTGATTGCATGTCCTCCTGCCAGACGGCTTGCTTCCGTGAGGAGCGCAACGTGCTGGTGAACGGAGACACACAATGGATCACTGCGTTGCACTACGCCTTCCAGGATGAGAGCAACCTGGTGAGCCACTCTGGGCCATGATTATGGTGATGGTGACACTCAATCATACTCATAATCTGTATGGTAATCATAAACCGTAAAACCGTTTCAGTTTCAGCCTAAAATACATGCCTGCTTTCAATGGAAGTCTTAGTCTCAATAGTGAAGTGGACTGTGATGTGACACCTCCTGTTTTATGTTGTGTGTGTGTGTGTGTCTGTCTGTCTGTCTCTCCATTTATCTCTGTATTTCTCTCTGTCTCCATGTGTCTGTGTCTCTGCCGGTCTATATCTCTCTCTCTATCTGTCTCTCTCTCTGGTTCCCTCTCTGTTGTTTTATCTCTCTCTCTATCTTTGTCTTTCTGTCTGTGTGTGTCTGTCATTTCTGCCTATTTCTGTCTCTCTCTATCTCGGTGTGTCGGTCTGTCTGTCGGTGTGCACCCTTTCCCTGCGTAGTACCTGGTCATGGATTACTACGTGGGAGGTGACCTGCTCACATTGCTCAGTAAGTTTGAAGATCGACTCCCAGAGGACATGGCTAAGTTCTACATCGCTGAGATGGTCCTCGCCATCCACTCTATCCACCAGCTACGCTACGTGCACAGGTGGGTATGGTCCCGAGTGAATGGGGGGGGGGGGTGCTCTCTGCCACAGTGACCCCCCTTCAGCAGGGCGGTGTGGGCCATAGATGCCTTCCTCTGGCAGGAGGGGCAGCATACTTTCCTAACCTCATTCGGCCTAATTAAACCCCCTGGCTGTCACATAGTAGCAGGTGATGGTGCACAGCTGCCAGGGGGATGCTCACCGTGGGGGGACAAGCGGGTGGGAGGGCAGGTGCTCCACATGCTGTGTGTTTGTATTTGCCATATTCTAGCAACTTAGTGTCCCAATAATCTAGAAAATCCTGTTACTTTTTAGCATTTTTTTTACGTCCATGCAATGTAAGCAATTTTTTTTTGCAAATCTGTGAATGCAATCAAAAAACTAAAAATGACAAATATTTTGTATTTTGTTTGGTTACTTATGGTTAAAGTTTGGGCTGGGTAGGGATTAAGGTTGTCATACTTATGATCAGGGTTAGGCCCATAGAAATGTCCCCACAAAGTGTAAGTGTGTGTGTGTGTGTGTGTGTGAGTGAGAGTCAGTTAGTTAGTAAGCCTTACTCACCTGTTTTTTTTTCCCTTATGTAGACCAGTTTCCTGGTCCCCATAAGGGCAAACTCAATTTCATAAAAATCTGTGACTGCAATGAAAAAACAAAAAATGCAAAAATTCTTGTATTTTGCTGAGTTACTTATGGTTATGGTTAGGGCTGGGTAGGGGTTAAGGTTGTCATAGTTAGCGTTAGGATTTTTCCCATAGAAATGAATGAGCGATCCCCATAAAGATGCTCTCCCAATGTGTGTGTGTGTGTGTGTGTGCACGCGCACACTGACACTTTGCCTGTCATCTTGCCATCATCAGAGATATTAAGCCCGACAATGTGCTCTTGGACATGAATGGTCACATCCGCCTCGCCGACTTTGGGTCCTGCCTCAAGATGATGGAGGATGGTTTGGTGAGTGCCGGCTGACAGGAATAGACTTTTATAACTAATATATATATATAACTGAAGCTGATGTTTTGCAAAGCCTAG